CACAACTGGGATTAGGGCAATGTCATCTGACGTGACGCTGATTTTAATCACAAGGACATCTCTTCTCTGCTCTTCCTCTGCTCCCTGCCAGCTACTGCATACAAGATCCTGTTCTGTCATCGCTTCTCTCACAGCCCTGAAGATCCACAAACCACTTCAACGTCAATCTGTCTTCAAATACTATACGTAGGGCAGAGCTGCAAGACTGACCCCTCTGAAGGGGTTACGCAAGGCCAGACTTGCACGTCCGCTAATAATGCGGATAAATAACCAGTCCTTAATAATACTGCAAGCTCTCAGGGCAGGGACTTGCTCGGAGTCTGCTGGTGCAGCATCCAGCAAAACGGGGCATAGCTGCTTGATTTTGTTTTTTGAGCACAAGTGTAAAAAAAAAAAATATTAAATGAGGATAATGATAGAAAAATACCAGCAGGGTGCCACTAACATCTTCATTAGCAACCTGAGAGAGGATGCAAACAGCAAGGAAATTAAATCTGCAGACAGGACTAAATAGGGAGTGGGTGACATCATCAAAAGGACTGAGAAATAATAGACAAGTCACAGGAGGGACAGACCAGGAAGAGTCTCCCTTGCCTATGGGAACGAATGGTCACAAGAGTCAAAACAAACTTCTGTGGCTACTGAAAAAGGCAAGACCACCATCAAAAGACAATGAGCAAGACAGGGAACGATTTCATCTTTGGGTGGTAGGTATAATCTGCAAACGTGGCTTGCCCTGCACTTGTGAAATGATTTCTTCCGGAAAATGCAGAAGCTTCAAATATGAGTTGGTGAAGAGGAGAGGTGTGAGTCAAAGCACAGTGCCTGAAGAGAGCTCCGTGGTGGCTTAATCTCCGAGACGTCTCTGCTGCTGCATCACATTAACCTTACTTGCTAATATACTGCAGATCTTTAGAAAATATTCAATGTTTTTTGCACGCCATAAGTGGCAAAACCACATCTTCCTTTCCCTCTCTCCCCTGAAGCGAGGACGAGTCTTTGTACACCAAGAAATGGCTGGATTACACTGCTGACAAGTGGCTTTGGTGCTGGTTGCTGGATGAACCTGGGCTGAATCATCAACATGAGTAGCAGAGATTTCCCACTACCAGTGAGATCCAATTCAGATTTCTGAGCTGGCGCTGCGCACTTTTTCGTCTTGCTAGCATTCGCAATTAAATGAATCTCAGCTTCCTTCAGATGCACTTGCTGCACATGATACTCCACAAAGACATACATTTCCTCATAAACCAACTTCAGAAAGATCCTCAGATCTCTGAATTCTATCTCACAAGCTAGGGAAATGAACACTGCATAAAGTGATCCCGGGAAAAAAAACAGACAAAACCACTGCAAAAAGGCAACAAATTAGGAATTATAAATAGTTTGCAATATGGGAGCAGCAAAAAGCCAGTGAAATATAAACCAGGAAGTGCCATGGCATTGAGAAGAGAGGTAAGTCTCTCACCAACAGGTCTGATAACAGTGCTCCTGGAATACACTACTCTTCCTCCTCTGCGGCCAAGTGGTGCCAGCAAACTGGGAGGAATTTATAGAGAACATAGCTAATTGTGAGGCTCCTCTACGGGAAGATTAAAAGCTAGTTACCTACAGCGCAATTTCCAGATTGTAAGAAGCTGTCACAGCCATTTTACCACTGCCTGAAGAACATATCCACAAAGAAAGAGGAATCAGTAGAGAGAGAAAAGTACTTGTGAGAGACCAGGACAAATTTTTCCACCACTGTTACAGACAGCAGAAGAAGGATGAGAATCTCCATTTAAGACCAAACTGCACATTAGTGGGTGCTACAGAAGAAAAACTACACTGACCCCAATGTCCTTTCCTCTTCTCTCTCTCAAGGCTTGCTCCCATACAAGGCCAAATACTCCTGCAGATTTCACTGTATTCCAGTCCCAAAGCTCCCTCTGCTGCTCGTACTCCAATCTCTCCCCTTTCTGCCTGCTAAGAAGAGACACAACCTCATCAGAAATACTCTCTTCATCTCTAGTTTCAGGCATCACTCTGCTACAAAACCTCACAGGGTCTGGGAAAGCCAGAAAGGCACTTCACGAGAAGCAGCCCCCAGCTGCTGATGCCTCTCCAACTCTTCATGGCAAGAAGATGCCTATCAGCCTGGTGTGTCCTCCTCCTCCATCCCAAGGAATCAGTTTATTCTGTCTCTGAACATGGTCTTGGTTCACTATCAAGCCCTACATGATCTGAATTGGGCGATTCCCATCAGACCAAACCTGACTTGTACGAGGGGCAGTGGAGTGAACAGGCATGAAAGAGTATCAGGAACAGCTGTGCTGTGCTTGGTGCTAAGCGCAGGCTTTGTAAGTTAATAAAACATACCCTGAGGAAAGCTGCTGCTTCAGATTTTGGGCATGGAGTCAGTCACAGGATCAGAGACTCAGACCTCAGGAGGTCTCTAGTTCAACCTCCCAATCAAAGTGGAGTCAACATTGAATTCAGGCGAGGTTGCTCATGGCTTTGTCCTGTCGGGTCTTGAAAATCTTCACAGATGGAAACTACACAACCCCTCTGGGCAATGCCTGCTCCAGTGCTTGGCTGTCCTCCTGGGGAATTTTTTTTCTTAAGTCACATTGAACCCTCCCCTTTCAATTTATGACCCTTGTCTCTCATCCTCCTGCCATGTACATCAGCAAAGAGCCTGGCTCTGTCTCTCTATAATCTCCTTGCAGGAAGCAGAAGGTCTCTCTTCTTCCCCTGCCTCTCTTCACAGGGCACGCACTCCAGCCCCCAACCATCTTCGTGGCCTCCACTGGACTCACTCCAGTTTATCAACACCTTTTTTGTGACCGCAGCATTCCAGATGTGATTTAACCAATGCTGAGCAAAGAGGAATAATCGCTTCTACTGGCCATATTGGGCCATCATGCCGCCAGCCCTCCTTGATGCCAAGTTCAGCTCACTGGCTGCTAAGATCCCCATGGCCTCTTCAACAGAGCTGCTCCCCAGCACCAATGCAGGGAGTTAGTCCACCCCAGGGGCAGGGTTTGGTGTTTGGCCTTCAGGAATATCATGCCAGCCCTTTCCTCCAGCCTGTTGAGGTTCCTCTGAATGGCAGCCCTGCTGCTAAGCATATCCACTGCTCCCCCCAAAAGCAGCATTCATTGTGGGGCACTCCATCACCCACCCTGGTCATTGCTAAATGTACAAAACAGAAGAAGTTTGAGGAAAAAGCCCTGAGGAATACCACCTCCAAGGAGATTACAAGGCAACCACCACTGCACTTTGAAGCCCCATGACCCAGCCAGTTGTCAACTCTAGAAGTCCACCTACCCAGACTCGAATGACTCATCTTGGATACATGCATGCTGTAGGAGACCAGGCTAAAAGCCTTGCTAAATACAAAGAGATAGTCACTGCTCTAACTATTGGATCATAGAAGGTAATCAGGTCAGTCAAGCATAATTTTAACCCTAAGTAAATCCACGCTGGCTATTCCCAATCTCCTTCTCCTCCATGTGCCCAAAACTGGCTTCCAAGAGGAATCACTCTGTGAATTTCCCAGAGACCAAAGTGAAGCTGACTGGCCTGAAGTGTCCAGGATCATCCTTCCTTCCCTTTTTAAAGATGGAGGTAAGTCACCTTTCTACAGTTATCAGGGTCCTCTCTTGATCTCCATAACCTTTCCATGGTAAGAGTGGCCTTACAAAGACACCTGCCAACACTCTCAGTACATTTGGATGCACACTGTCAGCACCCATGGACTTGTATGGGTTGAGATTTCTCAGAGGACTCCTGATTCAATCTCCCTTCACTACAGGTAGTCCCCCGCCTCCTTGAACTCTGCCTCTAGGCACGAGATGTCTGAGAGATCTTGCTGGTGAAGCCTGAGGTGAAGAAGGCCTCAGTACCTCAAACTTATCTGTGTCCCTGGTCATCAAATCACCTGCCTCATTCAGAAAAAGGCCACTTAAATGTCCCTTGACTTCCTTGGGAGTTTTGATCCACTGTAATCTCCAGCTGTCCCTCCTTTCCCATATCTAGGGGTTCTGGATGTCCTCTCTGCAGGGTCTCCGTGAAGACCCTGCTGCTCTCCTGTCCATCCTCCCTGGTGGGAGGGTGCTTACCTCCTCCCACAGCTCCTTCTCCTGGTGACCCAGTGCCCCAGCCAGAGCACAACGCTCACCAGCGAGGCCAGTGTGACCTCTGGCTCCAGGAAGAAGCACCAGGCAGGTCCAGCAGCTACAGACCTAGATGCTTGTGCTTGGGCCAAGCTACCCTCTCTTATACCACGGTAGTTGATCCCGTTGGCACTCCAAAAGCAGCCAGACAGGTACTTGACCTTTCCTAATCCAGAGTCCTCCCTGAGATGGGAAGATCAGCATAGTTATACCCAGAGGTAGCAAAAAATTGCTGCCTGGCTGGGCAAAACTTGGAGCAATTCTTTCTACAACAACCCCATGAAATTTCTTTAAGAGAAACAATCAGTACTTTAGAAGCCACATCCAGGAAAGATGTAAGCTCCCAAGTTTGCCAAATGAGGATGAAAACCAGAAATACAATATTAATGCATTGCAGGTTCCTGTTTTCCACAGTCCAGCACAGCTGCTGCATCCTGGTGCACATCCATCCGTGCAGCAAGGGAAGCAACAACTGTCATGAGCCCTTGCAGCATCATCTCTCAAGCTAGTGTCGGTTTAATTAAACAGGCATAAGTCCTTATTGAAAAGAGTTTCAGAGTATGTGAGAAACTAGTTTCAACCAAACTACCCCACTGGCAGCGAGGCCAATGATGGATTTAGTTTGTATTAGTCTACCGCTCCCTTCCACCATTGTTGAAATGCACTTTCTTGGTACGTTCTCTTTCTAGCCATAAAAGACTGCGTAGTAGTTGTGTCTTCTCTCAACACAGTCTAAAATCTCCATTCAATGTCTTCTCTAGAGCATCTCATGGAGGCGAGTTACACTACTGTGAAAGTCTGTTGGCTAATGCAAGCTTGCAAAGGTTTATTTGCTGTACTCACCTGCTCATTAAATTGCTCTAGCGATAAGCAATCAGTCATGTCCACACAGCCTAGGAGGCACCCTGACGGATAATCGCTTGGAAATTCCACATCTGCATGAAAAGAAATATCTCTTCAGAGGACCACATCCCCACAAACATAGCTGGGGTCTTCTAACCCCCAGGTGCCCTTCCCTCACCTCCACACACTTCTAGTTTTTGAGGCACAAGAAAACATACAGCAATTTTAGCACCCTGTCATTCTTTTTCCAGCTCAGGATCTTCACCATGACAGGACTGAGGTTGGGAAATTTAATTATACATACACCTTTCCCTGCTTAGCTTCTGACAGAAGAACATATAGTGTAGGAAGAGCTCCTTGCCCTGATGAGGTGGGAGACAATGCTGCTGTATGACATTTAAGCTGGGTGACGTGCAGAAACACCACACAAACAGGTGCAGTGCAGCCACCAGCATCCTCCTACCTACATGAGAGAATAACATCTCCCTGAGAACCTGCAGCTTTTCAGTCCTGATTTCTGCAAGGTCAGAATACATGAAAAGCCTTTAACATCATTGTAAACAGACTGAAGCACAAGCCACTTCACAGGCACACAAGCACACACTTGATAGCTTGTTGCTTGAGCCAAGAATAAAATGAAGTCCTTTACTGTCAAAAGCTATCACAGAAGTCAGATGCAATTTGACGGTGTTTGCGCTTGGAGTACGTGACCAGCTAAAGGATGGAGTTAAAGTCTGCCACCATGCCCATTCTGCTGACGAAATGCAGAAAGGATGAAGAGAATTTCAAGAACAGAAGGTTAAAAAGTGAAGCAGTAATAACTGCTCAGCAGACAGGGCTTTCTGACACTGCTCATTACGTGGCTCAATGTACCAAATAATACAAAGATCCAAGGAGAGAAGTTCACCTTTCCGGAGCAGCATTCTGTAGGTGGTCTCCAGTTCAGAGATTTCCTGAGGGGAAGGTCGCTTAGCAGTAGCTGCAATCCATAACCGCCCTCTATGAGATGTGTACCAGGTCCTGCCCTCCACCCTAGAGAACAAAGGAGAATTTAGGACTTAAATTTCAGCAGAAATCACCCACACGGACAGATTTTTCAATTGAACGTTTCACTACGCAATTCCTGCTGCTAAGCTTTGCCCTGACTATTTAAACTCAAGCAATGTGTCAGCACTACAGAGAAAAGCTGAGATGGGCAAGAAATAATGCCACAAGCGGAGCATGTCCTCATGGCTTTAAAGCAACAACAAAAAAGGACACCAATCCCTTGCAAATACAGCAGTATGCCAGACACGTGTGTAGGACAATCTGCTCATACAATTCCCTTACAAGCTCAAAAAGTTACACACAGTAAGCACGCAATCTAGGGAGTAATAACAGACCATGCACTGTAAGAAGCGGTCGTTAGCTGCAGCTCTTGGGGATCCCAGAATGGGCACTAGGCATCAATGCCACAGCTGTATCGGAGCAGCTGACAGCATCCCAGACCACCTGGACGCAGAAGCTGGGCATGTTAAGATTTACAGCATCTTTAGCTTGGGAAGTGAAAAAGCTTTGCCCTCTAAAATGAAAAATTCTATGAAGAAAAGGGAAAAAAAGGCTAAAGAAGATTCTTTGTTCTATATTAATGGTAGGAAAGGTGAAATAACCTGGCAGGGATGCTGGGCTGAAGGAGCTTCTCTTTGTAACCTGATTCCTAGCCCAGAGAGGGAAGGTAGTAGCAAGTCGGCGGGGGGTGGTTGGGTTTTTTTTAAACAAAACCTGGTGCCACTGTTGGCCTTTTTATGAGGGACAAAAAGACCAGAAGAACTTATTTCACATTTTCAGCTTATTTGCCTTTCAAATTCCAGAAAGGTACACCCCCAACTATAATGCAGAAATCTCAGACTCTCTCTAAATTTACCCACTGTGAAGGAATTTGTAACTTCCAGGTTAGCTACTCTCATGAAAAACAGATTCACAGGCTTCTCAAACCATCAGTACACTGGATGAGGAAGCACGGCTTCCAAACCTGGAGCTATCACTAGGTATCAGTCACTGTACAAAGCAAGCGAGTCCACAGAGGTCCTCTGAGGAACACAACTTCCCATCTCACCAACGAAGCAAGAGCTGACCAGGATACATCACAGTTCAGGCCACCCCTTTACCTTTTGATTCCTCTTATGAGCAAGGAAGCCCAAGGCTGATGCATGCTGAGGCACCAACCGTCATCTGAGATCTCCTGCAACTCTCGATCCTGAATCCGCAACCTGTTCCGCTCTGAGCCAGACTCATTTCCAGCGCCCATCAAATGGATGGCTTTCCTGTGTGGGAGCAAACCAGTTTGGTCCACCCACTTCAGAGTGTTCAAAAGAAACAAGAAAAAGGTTAGCACCTCTCTAGGAACAATGTATATCAAGTGCAAATCCTATTTGAAGTTTTTCTTCATTTAAGGACAGAGGTATTACTCTTATCGTGATCACTCTTCCTTCCCCTGCGAGCTCACTGTGCTTACATGCCATACTTTGACAGTAGAAAAAACAAGGTCATGCTCCACTCTGTGTGGCTTTTCCTTTCTATGCATCACAGCTAAACTACAGATTTAAAGAATAAATCTACCTGCTGGTGTTTCAGAACATTCACAGGAAGATACAATTTTCAAAGCATGTTCACAGCTGTCAACACTCAAAACTGGGAATCATCCAATCTCCAAACGCTTAGCATACAGCAAGAACACCATGATTAAAGGAGAATTAGAGGGTAGAGATTATGCCCTTTGGAAATTGGAAATCTGGCAGAAAAGGCTTCATAAATAGAGCAGAGAAAGTGACACAACATTAGGGTGACTCTCAGCAATTCTTCCACATTCCTGAAAAGGAGGCAGGAGGCTAAAACTCAGACAAACCAAATCTACCAAAGCAGGGAACAGAGCAGGTCATTGGCAAACCTTCTCTGTCCCCAACTCAGATGGCTAATGAGGATCTCTCAGACACAGGGGACGAAAGAGGTACTACAAACATGTGAGAATTCACAATTCTTAAGCTTAACTCTCCCAAAGCTAGTCATTACTCTAGAATAAATCATTCAACCCATACTGACCAAAGGAGCAGGCTGAAGAAGACGGGGATTCACTAAAACACCAGAATTCAGAGTCATCTTTGCTTCTGGGCTCCCGGCTGGCTTGCTCAGCGTGCCACAATTAATGGCTTCGATGGTTTCATCCAGTCTGCAAGCACAAACAAAAGGCATGAAAATTCCCTGCTTCCCCCTGGCAATGTCTCCCTTCTCCCCTTCTGACCCAAAGCGGTTTTTTACCACCTCCCCTAACTAAATGATTTCATCTTGGTGTGATTTTTAATTTGAACAGTCGCTCTTCTCTACTGCAGAAACTCAGCTTGGTTTGAATTTGAGATGATTGGTTGTGTTGAGATAGGCTTTCTGCAACATCTCTTTCCAGGGCAGTTTATCTTTAACAGACATGCCAGCTACTGAAACCCCGTGCAAGCATCGCACAGCTGGGCTTAGGAGAGGGTCCCAGCAGAGCTGTGCTAGAAGAGATGATATGCTGCAAGCCAAAAAGACCGTCAAGGAAGAAAATAACACAAAACTGTGTCCTAGTGTCAGAGGTGCCCTACAAGGGATCAGCTTGCTCAGCTTTCCTTACACTTGCTCTTCCAGATTCAGCCAGACCACTATCCGTGACGATTTTCACCTCCCTGCTCTCAGGCGTGCCTTTGCGCTGCCAGTTCTCACTCACCTGCTGTGGTATTCAGCCATGCTGTCGTCTTCCTCCAGGATCTGCCTGCCAGCAAAGTCAATGGTGATTTTTTTGGTAAGCCGAGAGGCGTGACGCAGCTCCCGCAGTTCCTGCTCTCTCTTCTGGAGGGCTTCCCTTTCCTGCTTGGAGAGCCACTGGTTGGAGTCCGTGGCAAAGTAATCTGATTCATCGTCAATGACCTGGGTTCGACGCACGCTGGCGAGAAACAACCACAATGGCAGAAGATGAGCACAGTGGGACAGTGACATGCTCTGACCACCCCAAACCTGCCTTCCAACCGACTCCATTCTGTTCTCTCTGGAGAGCTGGACTGTCAGGGGAACAAAGCAAGGACATCCAAATGGGACCTACTCAAGGGCTTCACTCTTGTTCCACCAAACACCAATGTTAAGGTGACTGTAGCTACAGCCCAGGTTTTAGAAGGAACTCTCTAACATTTCTGTTAACGGCAGCTTAGCCTGCCAGATAATTGATGCTATTTCACAATAGTCTCACAGCTAGTATCTTACCTTGTCCTGTCAAATTCCAACAACTTGTCTTTGTGTTTCACAGCCATCTCCAGGCCTGCTTTGAGTCTAGCTTCTTGTCGAGGAAGTAAGTCTTTGCTTATGGCATCCAAATTCCCTGAACTTTCAGCACCTGAGATAGAAAATAAATCACAGCTCAATAGTAAGTTATTTAAAGCCCAGTCTTGGTGGGCCTGGCTGCAGAAATGCCCCCTAAAACAAATGTCACTCAAGGAGCTAAAAGAAGAACTTTGCACCAAGATCAGCACCTTTCCAAACCAGGTTCAAGCCCCAATTTTCCCTGTAGCCCCTTTCACAGACTCCTTCCTCCAAAGAGGAGCAAGCATTTAAATACTACAGTGACAACATGTAGGTAGTGTTTAGAGAGAAGGTCTTGGTCTTTTGATTCTCCTTCACCCTTCACTAACAATTTGGGCAGCCTAAATTCCATCCGTCGCCAACCACAGTCCCCTCCTAAAGGCCAAATTCTCTCCTAAGTGTTGTCACCTCCACAAAGAGACTCTTGGTCACAACAGATCACTGACAATTGCCAGTTAAGCACAGAGCAAGCCTTCTGTCTGCCGCTGTACGAGCCTCTCGCAAATGAAATCCTCCCCCAACACACCTCAGCAGGTTTTTCAGACCAGCTGTTGTTGGAAATGGAGAAATCTATTCCCAGCAAGGAACTCAAGTTCTTTCTTACCAGTTCTGGCAAAGGGCCAAAACCCAAACAAACAAAAGGGAACAAAAAAACCCCAGCTTCCATCAAAGCCACAATGGAACAAACCAATGTATTTCACACAAGACATCACGCAGGCTAACGCCTTTATTTCAGGGAAACAAAAAAGCCTGTATTTCCCTGTCATTGCTGATCCACATTTTTTCACCCCCAAGACAAATAGCTAACCGCATTTCAGCTTTCACCTACACAGATAATGCACAAAACAAGACCTGGCAGGGGCAGAAGGGAAGACCGATAAAATGGGTAAGAAAAGGGGATCCTGAAGTACATCAGGATCTCTACAGGAAGATTATAAACAGACTGACTCTGTGATCAGCTGTTACTGTCAGGGACTTACAGCACCTCCTGCCATCTCAGCAGCTCTAAAAAGAAGGTGACACCGAGACCCAGAGTAAATATTTCCCCAGTTCTTCAGCAAAGTGTGTTTTTCAACCAAGAACACTGTGACCTTGGCTATATTTCAGCTAAACTCAGACAAAGATCCCCATAATGCACAGGTCTTCGCTGGGAGACTGGGTATTATTTCCTCTTGCTTTCCTTGGCTCTGTTCCTATTTTTAGCTCACAAGATAAGTGTTAGACAAGAAGAGTCATTAGAAAATATTAACCACCACCTCTCTAGACCCAGCAAATCAGATAGCAGCACTTCATCTTCCACAGCACACATTCCACATGAGACTTACCCTAATTTTCAAGGACTGCTACAATGATCCAGTTCATGTGATTGATTCAGGAATGCCTAACGAGCAGCCTTGGGGCCTCTGGGTAAGGACATTATACACTGCCATTTGACACTTGCAGTTATCACCTCTGTTGAAGTCCAGAAATGCTGCCGAGTGCTTGCAGAGAGGATAAAAGGAGCCGACTTCCCAGCCATCCTTTTAATGCCCACCACAGACACCATGCAGCAACGAGGACAAGTGGCTCAGTAAAGTCTGAAGCAAATAAAGTTCACAAACTGTCCTGGCAATTTACATCCCAGAGAAACACTCAGGTGTCAGCTCCCAAGAATTACCTTTAGACATTGCCAGCAATTCTTTATAATATCAACAAACGGATCTAGACAATTTAGACAGCAGGACATACACACTCTCATTCCACACAGCATTAAGGCAAGTGTAGCACAGTGAGGTAGAGGAGGGCTCCTGCTGTTGCACAACTGATTGGATTCATTATATTACAGGTATGTAATTGCTACTGACCTGCCATGAGCTTCTTCAGCAACTTCTGGCTCTTGTTTGAGTCCCGTTGAAGAATGTCCTGCTCTTCTTTAGTGCACACCTAAGGAAAAAAAAAAAAAGAAAGTGAAGACTTAGGAAGGACATCACATGCTTGACCAGCTTCAGAGCCTTGGACAACAGCTCAGGGTAAGCTGTTTAAAGTGGCCAAGATAGTCCACACCTCCTTCTCTTCGGCGTTATTTACACGGGGAGAATCCTGAAAGCTTGCTCTTCACTAAAAGCAATCCATGAGAAATGTACAGCTTGGTCTTTCTTGGTTCTCTGGGTGGGCACACTGCTAGGTGATCTCAAAGGATGAGAAATGCACCCTGAACCTCCCCAGGCAGATGAACAATGCTTAACACAGAGGTCCTCTCTCTTGGTTGGCCACTTGGAGTTAAACAGATCCTTAAAAATAGCAACCAATCTGATTTAAAACATTTTCTTCATCCAACCAATATTTTCCTCTCTCCTGAAGTTCACTTTACTTAATCTGCCATCATTAACTTGCCCCCTTTCTCCAAAAGGTGCCCTTTCAACCAAATACAGGGTGTAACAGGTACCCCAAATGATGCATACTGCACAAGCATTGAAGAAACATCAGCACGCTGGCCCTGGCCATGTCTCTTGCTCCCTACAAGGCTACCAGGGCTGTGCCCAGGATGGGGCTGAAGCCTCGCACACATTTTGGACACTAGGGTGATGCACAGGACAGCCACAGGAGACTGTCATAAATCAGGCAAGCTCCAAAGTGATGTAAATTATGAGGGAAACCTCTCTGCTCTCTCATGTGGCACATCATAGAAGAAACACAAAGTTACTTAAAGCCACAGCACTTCTCCTTCCCCTAGAAGGAGATAGTACAGGTTCTTTCCTGCCCAGCTTTAGAGCCTGGAGAACTTTGCTAGAGGAACTTTGACCCAAGAGGCTAATTTAGCCCCATGCCATTTCAAAGCCCTCAGCAAACTACACCACGTCAAAGCATGGCAAATAAAAACTACCTCGTTACTAACCAGAGCACCACAGAACAAGCAGGGTCCAGAGCCCTCCTGCTCGCAGACAATGCGCCCACAAACCAGGCAGTTGTTGATAAGCTTATGCTTCTGGCCCAGGCACTCGCAGGCATGACGCCCAGGGATCAGGACAGCCAGTTTGTCTTGCCCCTCCTTGGTATACAGGCTGACATATTTGGTCTTCTTCTTAGAGGAATTGCTACTGCTGCCGACTCCACCGCTGTTCTCCTGTGCCTGAGAAGCAAAAAAATAAACAAACAAACTGTATTCACAGTGCAATACCGGCAGCAAAGAGAAAGCACTGACCCTTGAACAGGCTGGGGAGACTCAGACAAGTGTTATTCTGCCTAACTGGAATAAAACTTGGACCAGACCCCAGATTCAACGGAAAGACAAGCTTAGGCCTGCCAGAAAAGGTCCAAAGAATCTAAACAAAGCAAGGACATAAGGATGTTGCTGATCCACTTGATGTTTGCTGCCTCTGAAAGCTAAAACTGTTTGGGTCTAGATGGCAGGCATGCTCTCAGTCCTCTGGACCTGCAATATTAACTCACGGGCATTTAACAGCTTCAAACAGCAGCTCATCTACTCCCAGATTTATTTTCAAGGGCTATTTAGATTGTAGCAATGCCCTGTTTGTAACTATGAAGTCCTTTGTGTGCCTACCCCCAGAAACACAGCTGTTGGTGGCAGCAGGACCTCTTCATTCACAGCCTGTTCACCACCCATCATTTTTTGTTTTCCACCTGGCACAGCCACCCAAGCAGAGGTTCTCCATGCACGGCATGTTCAAGTATTTAGCTGTAATGTAAATTCTTCTCATTTCATAACTCGGCATCAGTGATTCTGTGATTCACCTCTCTGAGTTTCAATCAGGGACTGCACTGGGTCAGGGACTAAGCTTTGGGTCAGGCTGAAGTAGAGAAACCCTGATCAGAAACAAAGCAAGGTATTTTACGTGATGGCTGGATTAATAATCTAATAGCGGGATTCTCTGCTTTCTCCTTCAGACATTATAGCTTGATCAAAGAAACAAAGGGTTCCTCCTCCCACCTGACATCTCCAGCAGGTACCGGCTGAGAAGTGAATTGTTGAGAAGTTAATTGCAGGAATTAATTACAGCACAGAAGTCATTCCAGGGGAACAGAACAAAGCCAACTGCTACCATTTCTCTAGCAATACTCAAAACCAGATGCTTTGAGAAGTAAGCACACACTCCAGGCACAAACCTGCCTCCTAACACTAGATGAGACTGGTTTCAACCATGAATTGCATGCCAGCCATGAGCAAGAAAGACTAGGACTTATTACCCTTATCTATTTCAGCAAGCAGCACTCCAGTATAAATGCACTCTCTGGCCTTTAGTTGTCATATCTGTGACACACTTGAAAATCCTCTTGCAGCGCAAGCACAGCTTTTCTTTGCCTCTCCTCTCCACAGTCTCTCCTGACAACAGAAAAGAGGATTTCTCAGAATCCCTTTCCCAGAAAGCCTGTTTTCATTCACCACAGAGCAACAATTCACTTTCTCTGCCTGCTGCACGCTAGAGGATCACTCCTGCTCTCTGACCCACACCTCAGCTAGCACTGCTTCTATGTCCCACGTCCCCCCACACTGCTTTTCTCCTTGATGGTGCTGTTCTATGGCATTAGGACACCTCTTGTCTTGACTCTTTTTACCTGCTCTCGGTAGCACCAGGCTACTGGTTTAGTGACAAGTGGATGCAGCATTTCCAGTCCCCCCAGTTCTGCCCAACTGGCTTGACTGCCACTGCCAGATCCAAACACTACTGTCATGAAAAAAAACCCAAAACCAGATAAAGCGACCTTGGTTAGCAAACCTTGGCAGAGCTTTCTCAGTTTTGTTCTGTTTTTTTAATTACATTAGACAGTAACTACAAGGAAATGGAACTTTACGTCCCATTTTTAGCCCTCCAGTTAAAAAAATGTTTTCTTATCTTACAAATACTTTTACAAACACTTTAAGCATTTGCAGCCTCCCTGCTACAAAACTTCAATTTAAAAACATACATTTAAGTTCCCCTATTTATTCAGGTGCAACCCTGACTCTCAGGATTTGGATGTTGCTCAGTCAGGCTTGCACCTGGATAAATCATGAAACTTAATTTTGGGAGGTGCAACATGCTGGATGTTTATAGGATGAAGGACTCCACTCCAAGTCTAACAATGCAAGTCAAGCACACTGCACATCCACATGCTTATTTCTGCGGAGCACACTCTTACGCTCAGACAGCAATAGAGTGATCTGCTGTATTTGACGCAACCTGGGACCGCAGTTGTACAGCTGGATCTGAACCTAAGGAAGGAGCTCGGGTTCCCAGCAAGTAGCTCCAAGTCAAAATCCACTACACCAGAAATAAAATCCAGAAATTCAGCCTAGGTAATTAAAACAACATTTAAGAGCAAAGATCGTCATATTCAATGTGCTGACTGTGGGAAATGGTTCTGCTGAAAGGTAAGTAAGTCTGCTGCAAAAAGTTAGTTAACTGTCACTGGGAAAGGCAACTACTGCTTGCTGCATGGCCTTGTGCTGCTTGAAAATAGCAGGATTTCTTGGGTTTTAGCCTTTCTATGCTCTTGTTTTGCAGTTTCTTTCATTGCAGCTCAGACTGGTTATGAATACTAAAAAAAAGGTCTCCACAAAACCAAACAACACCTCAATCTCAACACTAAACGTGCAGGAGTGGAGCTGAACAAGACAGGGAAATGGCCAAACCAGAGCTGCTGCTCAGTGGAAAGGCACTCGCTACAGCTCTGATTCCTCTACCTAGCTGTCGTGGTTTAACCCCAGCCAGCACCACACAGCCGCTCACTCACTCCCCCCCATCCAGTGGGATGGGGGAGAAAATCAGGAAAAGAAGTAAAACTCCTGGGTTGAGATAAGAACGATTTAATAGAACAGAAAAGAAGAAACTAATAATGATAACACTAATAAAATGACAACAGTAGTAATAAAAGGATTGAAATGTACAAACGATGCGCAGGGCAATTGCTCACCACCCGCCAACCGACACCCAGCCAGTCCCCGAGCCGCGAATCCCTGCCCCCCACTTCCCAGTTCCTAAACCAGATGGGACGTCACATGGTATGGAATACACTGTTGGCCAGTTTGGGTCAGGTGCCCTGGCTGGGCATGAGAAGCTGAAAAATCCTTGACTCTAGTCTAAACACTACTGAGCAACAACTGAAAACATCAGTGTTATCAACATTCTTCACATACTGAACTCAAAACATAGCACTGTACCAGCTACTAGGAAGACAGTTAACTACATCCCAGCTGAAACCAGGACACTAGCGCCCAAGGCTTCCTCTTTGAAGCAGCCTGAAATATTTCCGTTGCCAATTAAGGCTTTATTCAGCATGACTGGGAAGTTTTATATACAGCAAGAAGGAATGTTCTACCCACATGGTGGCTTCCTTAATTCCTCAAGCTTCACACCTCTGCTATAAAGAAACACCTTTTATTACTAATTACAGCATCTACTTCTATTGTCCGCTCTCTCATTCAGGCTTCTTCGGGGGTGAGTAAAATCCATTCTGACATAGTCTCTACCTGATGATTATTTTACTCTACGATACAGACACAAACATACACCATCTTTCTCCCCATCCTCGTATTATTTGCCCCACAGCAGTGAGGCTCCCGGACACACACAGGGTACAAGTACACCCTGTCCAAATTGATGGTCAGCTTTGAACAGTCGATGCACGGGAACAGCTGCCCCTCTCATTGCAACCAGGCGACTGTACAACTCACTGACAGTGTGCTTGTAGGGTGGGACCCTCGCCTATCCCAACGGCCGCCAAAGTACTTGCTCAGGTTATAGCTTGTGGCTGCCACGTTGCATGCTATCCGTGAGTGAACAAAGACACACAAACATATATCCCACAGAAGCTGTGCTGTATATAAGACAAGACAGGGTTTGCAGGGGGAGGCAAGCGTTTATTAGACCCTGTGATGTAGCTGGGAAACACAAACATGGTTTCAGGTACATAATCCCATTCATCAGGACTCTGATAATGAAGGATTCATGTTTCTGAAGGCTTATTTCCACTTTTCAATCACATCTTTTGTTAGTGTTTGATATGACCTTTCCCCGTGACCCCGTTTCAAAGCCTGCCCTCGCGTACCAGACACACTCACCTTGGCCAGGTCGAGGGGGGTTTTTACTTCCTCTACATGTGCACTTGGCTCAGCATACGCAGGTGTCTCCTGCTTGTTCCTTCCTTTGCGCTTACCCTTTTTTGCTTGGTCTCCAGCCCGAGGCACTTCCGAAGTCTCTGGAAGCGTGCGTAAGCACAAAGAAAGGCTGGGTAACTATCAGCACTAGAAAGATGTCCCTGAACTCTTACTTGGTGAATGAAAATGGGCTTTACGCTGTCACAACAGAAATAGGACCAGTCATGGGCATTTGTGGCATATCATTGTTTATAAAGAGAAAAACTGAGACAAGCTTTTTTGAGACTTTAATTCCTTCCTCCCCATACCACTCACCATCCTTTTTCCGATACGCTGGCAAAGGCTCAGACGGCAGCTGGGAGGATTTCCGCCACCTGGCCAGGAGTTCTTCTAAAAAGCGACTCTTCTTCCCATCAGTCCCCTGAATAAGGTCAACGACGTACTCCCGGATCTCGTCCTCATTTGTTATTGACAAGATGTACCTGCAAGAGGATGGGATGGAGAAAAATGGGTAAGGGGGCTTTTGTTCTGAGGAAACCAACGGTCTAATCGCACATGTATGCTATTAATCTCTCCTTTCCAGATCAGGTGTTTATAGAGACTCTGGTAACAAAGGGGTTTACCAGTCAAATTTTGAGACAGGCAATTTTGGAAATCCCTTGTGGCTGTTTCACTGAAAAAAACATAAGGTAAATTATTTTTCTGCCCCTGTTCCAGTGCGGAGTGACACCCCCCCAACCCCTCTGCCAAACACTAAAAAATTCACTCTAAGATCCCAGGTGCCACCAGGTCACATAAAAAAATCTAACCATAAGCCAACAAGCTCCTGCTTAAACACAAGGAGACAGCAGCATGCCCTTCCTCACCCACCCACAACGATCCCGGACCCCTCCCCACCACCCGGTCCCCTCACGGGGCACCCACCCGCAGGACAACCCAGGGCGCACATCCCCGGGTTCCCCGAAAGCTGCTCCGAAAACACCATCTGCCCTCCGTGTTGGCCCACGGGGCCAAGAGGGACCCGGAGGCGACGCGAGGGGCCACCGCGGCTTGCCACGGCAGGCCGGCGAGGAGGGACCCGGTAGACCCCGGCGAAAAGCACGGCCCCGAGCGGGGCCAGCCGCGGCTCCTGCCCGCCCCGGCGCCCCCGGCCCCGCTCACCTCACCACCTCCTCGCCCACATCCAGCCCGAAGTCTCCGCGCAGGTGCTGGACGCACCAGGCCAGGAGCGAGCCGGGCGCCGCCATCTTCCGCGCAGGGGAAGGGAAACAGCGGCGCACCGCCCCGGCACCCGCCGCCCCCCCCGGGAACGCGGCCGCGGAACGACCGTTCCGGGCCCCGGTTCTCCCCGGGGCGAGGGTGTTGCGGTCCACTCTTTAAAAACCAAAACCACATCCCAAACAGAGTAAAAACATATTGTTATAGCTCACGTTGATACCGAAAAGCCGGTCGAAGAAACTCCCTAAGACTCGCTTTGCAGTTTTAGAAAGCAGGCATTTTTTATTGCAGCACGGGAGACACGGGGAATAATTCCACCTAGCATGCATGCCACAGCTTTAACACTAACAGGTTATATAGAATAACTAATTGCATATTAATCAGATTAGTATACATATACATAAAAATGATTATAACTGATTATCATAGTACTGCCTACATCCGATCATGCACAATGAAGGGTTCATTTGAGTCAAAGGGCTGCCTTTATGACCACCGACCCATTTGAGATTCTGTTGGCTGTCCTTGAAGTCGTTGTTCTTGTCCTTGTTCTTTGACCTTGAAGCTTAACACAGTTTCAGTCACATGTGGTCAGTTTCAACATCGTTCTCACCTAGCGTACAGGAACTCTAGTCATAAGATCAAAGAACTGCAAAACTTACGAGTAACTACCTCTACTAGTTAATTGCTTGGCTATACTTTTGTCTATTGTTTCAATCATAATGTTAGCATAACATTTCTAATCATTATTTACCAAATCTCACTTTTACAGTCATCTAGCAGCAAACCAGTTTCCATGGCAGGTACAAAATATTAAAACCATCAAATTATTTAGACATACCATGCAGAATGTATGGACATATGCTGTCAACTTTTCACACGTGCCAGCACCACAAAACAGAAGAGAATGGAGAATTACGCTATCATTTAAAAAAGAAGCCAGCACTAAAAGCCTGATTAAGCAAACACACATCAGAATGAACATTAAAAGATAAAGGGAGCAATAACTGTTGGGAAGGGAGGGAATGTGTTTGGGACCAACAGCCACCGAGACATTGGACACACTGAAGAAGGACAGTCTGATTTCTTAGAAAAAACACAGCTCCAGCAGGATATCGGAGAGCAAGATTCATTGCCTCCACAAAGGCAAAAGCCTCTGGCCCCAGCAGCTGCCCACACAGCTCACATCATGTTCACAGGCTGCAGCTGCCACAAAGGAGCCTCACATCGGGGAGACCGTGATTTAATTGGTCATAAAGCGATCTTGCGCTGAAATTGGGGCTGCCTGGCCTTCCTCCCTATGCGCTGCTTAGCTAGATCTTCGTAAGGTAAGACTTTGCACATCGGAGGGAGCTCCAGGAGTAGCCTGGAGGCAGGAGGTAACAAATGGCCCCATCCCTGCACTCCCAGTGCCTGGGCTCCATGCCTAGCTGGGCTCCCGAGCTGCCTGGGTGTCCCTACTGGCTTGCTGCCTTGCTCCCTGGGGACCTGCATTACCCTCTGGCACTGCCCGTCCACAGATGTGCCACCACAACGCTTGCCCGGTCCTGCGGTGCACTTGATCCAGGAACAGATCTTGCTGGAAAAGACCAGGAAGAAATGTAATTTTTCAGCCAGAGCAGTTGTTTCACCCTGTTCCCTGTGAACTCATGCTGAATCCAACTGAACTCACGCTGCTGCAGGAAAAAAAGCATCTTGGACCAGAATGTAACACGTTGCAGGGTTTTCGGTACTCCTGGCCATTGTAACTCCCTGACATGTTTTTAAAAGTGCCATAGGCAGACAGCAAACTGTTGGGAGCCAAAGCTCCATCTCTGCAAGCACCTGGGAAGGGAACAAACTTCCCTCTCTCGGAAAGGCTCGGTGGTGTCGGCGGCACTGCCCGCAGCTGAGCACAGCCATCACAATTTGTCGCAGTGGGGAGCAGTATCACTCTTCCCCTTCTCCCCCCGGACTGCTGCGGTATCAATAAGGATGAGTGCCAGTGCCGGGCTGTGGGACGTGGGTGCCAGCCCCTGCAACGAGCAGGGTAGCGGGGAGGGAGCCCCGCTGCCACGGAGGGGAAGCCCGGGGTATCCCTGTGCCACCTCCTTCCCGGGGGACCGGCCTGGGGCTGCGAGCTGGGGCGGCAGCCCTGCGCGTCCGGGAGAGGGAACGGCGGGCCGTTGACACTCGGTGGCGGCTGAGGGGAGCGGCGCTGAGAGGACCCCCGAGGAAGGGAGCGGGCTGGCGGAAGCGGGCTTGAGGGAAGCGTCCCTGAGGCCAGAGGGGCTCTGAGGGGAGCGCGGTGAGGAGGACCCGCGCTGAGGGGGAGAGGGCTGAGGGAAGCGACCCTGAGGGGAAGCGGGCTCAAGGGACCCGCGCTGAGGGAAGCGACCCTGAGGGGAAGCGGGCTCAAGGGATCCGCGCTGAGGGGATCCGCGCTGAGGGAAGCGACCCTGAGGGGAAGCGGGCTCAAGGGACCCGCGCTGAGGGGATCCGCGCTGATAGGACCCGCCCGCTGCGCCGTGGGGAGGGGAGCGGTCCGGCGCGCTCCCATTGGCGGGCGCTGGCCAATCGCCTTTCCCCGCGGGCGGCGACATCTCCCGCGCGGGCCGGGCGGCGGCGGCGGCGGTCGCTGTGGGTAGGATGGTGCGGACGAAGGCGGAGTGCGGCGGGGCTTACCGCAAAGGTGCGGGCCGGGCCGGGTGGGAGAGGAAGAGATGGGGGGTGTGGGGGTGCACCGCGGAGCCGCCGCTCACCGGTCCCCTCTCCCCGCAGTGCTGGCCGCCCGGGCTCCCCGGAAGGTGCTGGGCTCCAGCAGCATCAACGCGGGACCGTCGGCGGTGGCCAAGAGAGGTGAGAGCGGGGCTCCCCTCCCTCCGTCCGTCCGTCCGTCCCTCCCCGCCCGGCCCGCGGCGGGACTGACGGCCGCTCTCCCCTCAGGCGAGGGCCGCCGTGTCGGGGGGAACCCGGTGTGCGTGAGGCCCGTCCCCGCCTGGCAGAGGGGCATCGGCGAGTTCCTGCAGCTGCCGCAGAAGGAGAACCGGGCGCCCGGCGGAGAGGCGGCGGGGAGCAGCGGCCCGGGGCCGGCCGCCAAAAAGTAGGTGTCGGACCCCCGGGGCTCGGGGTGGGGAGGCAGCCCCCATCTGTCTGTCTCCTCTCCTCAGCCCCCATCTGTCTCTCCTCGGTCCCCATGCGACTGCCGTCAGCCCGCCCCCGTGAACCGCGGCGGCTTTCTCAGGAGCGTTGCGTTTAATCGCGGGTTTCCCCCCGCTCTGCGAGTCCCCGCGAACCGAAATTGCAACGAGGTGGGGCTGAAGGAGGTGCAGAAGTGTCGTGCCTTGGGGTTAACGGGCCGGGAAGGGGCGCGCTCAGTGTGTCAGAGAGGCAAAGTGCAACAGCGAACGGGTTTTGTATGCTTGAGGAGTTTCGGTGGTCGGCTGTAGCCTGGCTCTCGGGACGTGCTGCTTGCACTTAAAGCTCACTTCCTTTAAAAAAAAAAAAAAAAAATTTAAAAAGCTGTCTGAGGTACAACAGAGAGCTAAAACCGCCTGCAGAGCGGCAGCGACGCACGCAGCTGTTATCGCTGCAGCTGGTGCTCCGTGATGTTGCTTTGAACTGTGCCCCGGTATAGTCAGCGTGGTCTGCGGGGTGACGTTAAACAGCAAAATCCCTGGCACTTTTAAAGAATACCGAGAGCGATGTGCCTGGCTGCCGGCAAGGGGTGTGCTGAGGGCTGTCAGTGTGTCCTTGGATGAAACAAATTGTGACTAGTTTTCCTCCATGTCTGCTTTGAAACTACGATTTATTTTTGAAGGAGCAAGCGACCGCTGAAAAGTTGACGATGTGTCTCTTAACCTTCATATCCTCATTGAAATAACGTTTCTCAGCAAAGTCTGATAAAACGCAGCATCTGTCTTCACTGACCTCGTGGGGGTTTTCTAAAAACGGGTGGAGTAACTGGTAGTACAGGCAAATTCTCTGTTCTCAGACATACTTTGTTTGCATATGGACCAGAGCAATGTGACACTCCGTGGCTGTCGGCTCTGTTTCAGAAAAGCTTAGGAGACTGCTGGCGACTTCTGTACATCAGAAATTGAATTGCTTTACCAAGCTGACGCTTCAAAGATTAACTTGTAGGCTGTACTACTGACTAAAAAGGTAGTAGTGCAAAATATTGTCTTACAGATGCGCTATTCTCAATTGCCAAGGTTGTCTTTTTCACCAAATAGAGATAATCCTAAATTGTCTGGGGGCCCTCCATAAGAATTAGTCCTGAATTGTCTTGAAGAAGAAGCAAACAAACACTTTTAAGCGCACCCTACCTCTTGGAGAAACAGAAGATGTGCACTGTAGCGCTTCAAAGATTTCATGTCTTCCATTTGAAATTTGTTTGGCTGAGTAAGGACCCAGGTGGTGATAACCCTGCAGAGAACACACAGTGTCGCCATCTAAAACAACTTACTGCTTCCCACTATGTTTTGGAAGAAGCAAGAGCTGTACTCGTGTAGCTGAGCAACTTTTTTTTTCAGTCACACAGGTAAGTTAGTCAGGTTGAAACTCAGGCGTGAAATGGGAGTTAAATTTTCAGCTTCCTAGAAATGGTGTGGGACCTGCATGTGGCCCTCTGGGTCAAGAAGGACGCGCAGAGAACATCTGAGGATGTATCAGTGTGCAATGTTTTCTACACTGAAGTAGGCTTTCCCATTTAAAAGGTAGGCGTGTGCCGCTAAATCTGGGCTTCTAGCATTTAGGACTGATACAAGCTACTTTATCCTAATGTCTCAAGGTGCAGTCTGGGGCTAATTAAAGTCACTTAGGTCACTGAGCCTCTAGGACCAGAGCTTTGTTAGCCTTTCAAACACAAGTTGGTTGAGTTCTGATAACTCTTTTGAATTGATAATGCTTTTTACAGAGCTCACCTCCTGCCACCAGATCCTGCAGAAGATGGCGAGTCCTCTGAAGAAGAGTAACGTGATCTGACCCTGACTTTAATGATAAACCGTGTCTCCGTAGTCAAGCTGGTTTTTGTATATTTGTATAGTTTTTCTACAGTTTGTTATGGCTTGTGTTCAGCTGTTGCACAGAACTAAAAGTGTAAGTTTGAGAGACTGCAAGAACATTGTGGTGAAATTAATATATACTTTCTGAAGCTTAGCATTCAGTATAAGTTACTGTTTTAATTTTTATCTTGGTTTCCTTGAGTTCCTCAGCGACTCCTGCATATTGTGCAGCTTTTATCTTTTGATTGCCTTGTGCTTGTCCAAGACTTGCATGATCATGCTTGTTCTGTTTTTAGAAAGCAGATTCTTAATTTTCTAATACATTGAAGCATTCTGAAAATATATCCGTGTTGTGTCTTTATTGAAGTAAAACCTGTTAATGACAACTTCTTTGTTTGAAGATGGGAAAACTGGATTTGAAGAGACACCAGTGAGGTGGAAGGGCAGCTGTCACTTGCTATGATTTAGAGGCAAAGTTTAATTAAAACAAACTGGATTGTTCTAATGAATCAAAACCCTGGAAGCCTGGGGAGCAATAAACTGCTAAAAATAAAACAAACTTGTTATCGTGAAGTGCCTGAGGCTGCCACACAACTTCTGGGGTACTTTATATGAAACGGTGAGTATGGTCTTGTGGAGAAGCAGCGATGGGTCTTATTCTCAGGGGTTCTGTTTCTGCTCTTCCTTAGAAGCACCACAAATGGTCAGAGTATTGTTGAGCTGATGAAAAGGTGAGTGTTTGCATGTGAGGAGAATTCAGTGGCAGCTCTAGTAGATCAGCCTGGTATATTTATCATGGGGAAAGCGGTGAACACTGTCTAAAAGCCTCTTCCTAAAAAGTCTATGAATAGAAAGGAGGGTTGTTACAGAAGAGCAGTTCAAGTTGTTTGAATGAGAAGTAGCAAGTGAAGATTTCTCTTTAATAGAAATTAAAAAAAAACACCAAAAAATGTAGATTAAGGCGACTAAGCTTGTGATAATGTGCTGTACAAACTACAGACTTCTTTGCCCTGACATTACACAAAACAACAAACTTGTTTTCTGATTATTTTTTAGTGAACTGAAGCACAGTGCTAGTAAGATAACACACTGAACAGGCTGTTCTGTAAGTAGCTACATAAGATCTTAACTGCATTCCCTGTTGCAAACCATTCGGTACCTGTGTCACACAGGAAACGGGTCAGCTAGTGCTCTGATAGCAGGTATTTTCTTTCTTAGTAACTTCATTATCTCAGCCTTTCTAGCAAAAGACAAATTCTCAGCATGCAGAAATACTCTCCTACCCCTTCGTTAGCCTGAATTAAGTACTCCTGGTGCAGCTAAGGGCTCCTTTATGTGAGAATATAGGCTGGCATAGTTCAGATGCTCACACTTAACGAGACCAGGGGTAGGCCTTCCCAAATGGGGAGTCATGGCTACGGCTGTGCGGTGTCTGTGCTGCTTCAGGTCCCATGGCTACAGAGGCATTGTGGGTGGCAATTTCCTTTGCCTTCCCTTTGCCTTTTGACCTGTGTATTGGCTTTGTGTGGCAAGGTTTTGGTAGTGGAGGGGGGTTACAGGGGTGGCTTCTGTAAGAAGCTGCTGGAAGCTTCCCCTGTGTTCGAGAGAGAGCCCATACCAGCCGGCTCTAAGATGGACCCGCCGCTGGCCAAGGCCGAGCCAATCGGCAATAGTGGTAACGCCTCTGTGATAACATTTTTTAAGAAGGAAAAAAAAAAGTTAGGACGGATGGAAACAGCAGCCAGACAGAGGAGTGAGAACATGTAAGAGAAACAACCCTGCAGAGACCAAGGTCAGTGAAGGAGGAGGGGAGGAGGTGCTCCAGGTGCTGGAGCAGAGATTCCCCTGCAGCCTGTGGTGATGAAGACCATGGTGAGGCAGGCTGTCCCCCTGCAGCCCAGGGAGGTCCACAGTGGAGCAGATCTCCACCTGCAGCCCAGGGAGGACCCCACACCAGAGCAGGTGGGTTCCTGAAGGAGGCTGTGACCCCATGGGAAGCCCGCGCTGGAGCAGGCTCCTGGCAGGATCTGCGGATCTGTGGAGAGAGGAGGCCATGGAGCAGGTTTCCTGGCAGGACTTGTGACCCTGTGGGGGACCCACGCTGGAGCAGTGTGCTCCTGAAGGACTGCACACCATGGAAAGGACCCGTGCTGGAGCAGTTCGTGAAGAACTGCAGCCTATGGGAAGGACCCATGTTGGAGAAGTTTGTGGAAGACTGTCTCCTGTGGGTGGGACCCCATGCTGGAGCAGGGGAAGAGTGTGATGAGTCCTCCCCCAAGGAGGATGAAGTGGCAGAAAGTAATGTGTGATGAAATGACCATAAACCCCATCCCCATCCCCCTGTGCCGCTGGGGGGGCTTGGTAGAGAATCTGGGAGTGAAGTTGTGCCTGGGAAGAAGGGAGGGGTGGAGGGAAGGTGTTCTGAGATTTGGGTTTATTTCTCATTACCCTACTCTGGTTGATTTATAATAAATTGAGTTAATTTTCCCCAAGGTGAGTCTGTTTTGCCTGTGAAGGTCATTGGTGAGTGATCTCTCCTGTCCTTATCTCGACCCACAAGCCCTTTGTTATATTTTCTCTCCCCTGTCCAGCTGAGGAGGGGGAGTGATAGAATGGCTTTGGTGGGCACCTGGCATCCAGCCAGGGCCAACCCATCACAACCTGCCAAACTAGCTGGAGTCCTCAGTCATGGTTTCTTCTCTAAAATTGCCTGGGAGCCAGCAAAAACTGCTGTGCTCTTATCAGATCGGCACATCACCTATGGTCAATTCCTGTGCTAGTCGTGTTTAGCAGCCCCGCGAGGACTACGCAGCTGCAAGCTGGGGAAGGGAGAAGGACTAAGAGCTACTCTTGACAAAATTAAATCAAGGCTGCTCTCCCAGGCCGATGGTCAAGGAACAACGCTGGTGAAGACCTTAACAAAGAGGCTCTGGATCGCTCTGACAAGCGTGTCATTAAAAAGTTAAAAGCTGATGGAGCAGGAATGTAAAAGGCTGTGGAAAGACACGATGTGCACACGGTGCACAAAAGGAGCTCAGGATCAAATAGCTGCCCATGTGGTACACGTCTACCCTGCTGTAAAATCTCATAAAAGAGCAAAA